ACACTGTTGATAAATGTAACAAATAGTTGTCGACGGTTATCGTTTATGGATACCACTAATGATCTTAAATGTCTAGTCATATTTAATCCTGTTGGTACGGCACCTACAGTACAGTTTCAAGAAGGATTGGTGTGGAATCTCATGTAGAAATGTGGAACAAACATAATTTTAAGTGTCACTGAACACATTTAACATTGTAGCTCAGACTTTAATTTGTCTAATTACTACATTTTGGTTTCTGTTGAAATTTGTTTTTAGTTTGAATTAGTTGCGTTATAGTTAGAAAAAATTATCAAAATCTATCTCTCCTACTCATTGTTATCCACATCGATCGTTCCACGTGTAAACTTGACAAATATTGAATGGTCTTGTTGAGAATCATTCACAACAGTGTCAATTAATTCACTCTTCATCTTTCTTTATTTCGTTTGCAATAGAGCTGAGGCATTCACTTTTTTTAGTCTTCTCTGAAATGCCAATCTTCTGAATTCCTTATGACCTTTACTCTCTTTTATAAAATTCACCTCACTGGATTACATACTTATCGAATCATACCCTCGACATCAAGCAAAGACATGTGTACATGGAGACACACTAAATACACACACATACACAAAGACAGGTTTTACATAAATACAGATTGGCGGGCAGACAGACATATACATACATATACTGATCCATAAACAGACAGGCACACAAAAAGTACACACTAACCTATAACGAACACCTTGATCCGTCAATACTGACTGTTGTATTAATTGTTTACCTCCTCCACTTGTACTAAAACTACCAGCATTGGGATTAACAGTACCACTTGGATTTTCATTCAAATGAATCAATCTGGAATTGGTCATTACAACATTACCAGCAGCACCACCGCCGCCTACCATGAATGATGATGGTGCAGGTTTAATTAGAAGTGCGTTTTGTTTAGCTTTGACAGCTTGTGCTTTGGCTGTACGCGCTTGTTGTGCTTCAGTGCCTAATGTAGTCAAACGTTCCAACACTTCATGATGACGTTTTTCTAAATTTTCAATTTCAGCTTTCAATTTACTCACAGCATTCAATGCAGCCATACTAGCTTTTTTATCATTCTCAGCGGCTATACAACGATGCTCCAATAGATTGTCAAGTCGGAAACGCAGTCGTTTACTAGATGGTGATGATGAAGAGGTGGGGTGATTGTGTTCCTTATCGATCGGTGGTGGGAAATGAATTCGATTTGAAATACACTATAATGGAGAATAAAATAACAAAGATACATATAATAACTTTATTTGCTGAATACCTGTACTAGGTCAGCTCAACTTAGATCACCTTATTAGTTTATTGAAAAAGAAAACAGATGATAAGAGATAAATAGGATAAAGCACTAAATGATATGTCAGGGTATTAGGGGGTGTAGGAAGGATTTGATTTTGACCAATTTGCTCTCGTGTGCTGTTACGGGTATGAGGGCGGTTATCACTTCCCGTATGCCTACAAAGTGGGTGTTTCTTGAGGGACCTGAAAAAGAAAGGTAGAATAGTGTTGGTCTTGGAGACCTGGGTGCGTGACTGCAGAGTCCAAGGGACAACTGATTGAGGCCGGTCACGCACATCCTTTTTATCAAAGGTTTTTTTAATATTAGCTCCGCTCTTAAAGGCCCTTAGTGGGCACCCTCACCGCCGGAGAAGGTAAATCCGTGAGGTAGGGTGAGATGTGACATTTTTAGGGTCAACCTTTTCTAACCTCTTCCTTCCTTGTAAGAAGGCAGCATCGCTGCGGATTCTGATTGTCCGAGGGAAACACCTCACTGCTGTCACACCCCTCTGCAGTCAGCAGTACAACTTTGCCCTCAGACCTTGGGTAGCTGCTTTTAGTCTCATCGCTCACCAATCGACCTGCCTGGCATGGTAGAACCTTCAGGAACATAAGTTCCAGCCAATATAGCTCGGTTGGGTCATCACGATAGGTAAGCCCGACCACTACGTCAAGGTAGCAGCTTCGGTCGGGACTAAATGATATGAACACTTTTTGATGTGTTCACCAATTGATATGCTTGAAACTATAACGAGTTTGTTTGCAGTACATATTAAACTACGGTAAGCAATAGCTAAGAATGTTTATTGAAAAAGAAAACAGATGATAAGCGATAAATAGGATAAAACACTAAATGATATCAACACTTTTTGGTATGCTTGAAACTATAACGAGTTCACCTTACTCGGTAAACGGAACGAAGATCAACGATACAGTGACACGATAGGCTGTTCTAATTCGATTGTCCCCGGCCCGGCTAACTAGATCAGGAAGTCGTGATCAGGAGTAGAAAGTGTATTCTACAAGCACCCAGAAAAAACGAGGATGACAAGCACACAAATCGAGCTTATTTATACAATGATAGGAACGCCTTTGGGAGAGCCACAAAAATAACGTACTGAAACAATCCATCAACCAATGACAGTCAAGGATTTTCCGAGTGGGAAATGTAATTGCAAAGTCAACTGAGCGACATATGCGCGGGAACGTAAAAAAATCTAAAATTAGGACCTTTCCCTAGTGAGTTTTTGGGGATCTAGCGTTCCCAACACTTTTATAATCAGATGAGATATATGGCATCAATCTGTGAAGTCATGAACAATGTGGTTTAAGACGTTGTGAGTAATCACAGATTAAATTGTATGCAATAGCTAAGGATGTTAACTAATTTGGCTCAGAATTGATTGCAATGACTCAGGAACATTCTCTATTTGTCTTTCAATGTGTAGATATTACGCCCCGCTCACTCCCTTCTCCAATTCATTCCTTCTTTAAGAATCACATTGTTTACAACTAACGTTTTTTTTACTATCACTGATAGTACTACTGTGGTGTGAGCTACTTATAAGTAGTATATGACGTGAGTGTCAACGTAATGTATGGCAGCATAATATGGGGGAAGATCAAGAAAGGAACAGTTAGAACACAATGGAATTTGTATGAAACGCATGAACAGTGACATTGGATTGATGTTTTGCAACAGGAACAGTCCAGTTCGATGTGATGAACTGATAATTTGCAAATGAACGATTTACGATATGGTGTTCCGATTTTACTGAGTAACTCTGTAATTTCCGTTAAATACAATTCGGTTGCCCCACCTGTGTTCTCGTTCACTACACTACTATTATCATTACTACTGTAGCACTGACTGTGATAACATCATTCAAGCTCTAAGTTCCTGATAATCCCCCTTGAAGTGGAGCATCATTAATATATAAAGGCTACTATGTATTACTCTTCCTAGTTAAGACTTTAAATTTGCACAATAAGGTGCTCAACTCATTGATAGAATATATATATATATATATATATATCAGTATAAACAAACAGAAAAAAAAACTAAGAAAGCCTTCTATTGATCAATTAATTGTTGAACCCAATAATACAGCGAATTGAAATGAAGAGGATACTTAACGGTGACTCATTGGTTGGCAGAGTCCAACATTCAGCCAATGATTTTCAGCTTTCAATCTTATTCCACTTTAGTGCAGCTGGAGTAATTAGGTAGTACTTTCTAACATAATATATAGAACTTCTTTATCGATACGCTTTGACTTGTGATTACTAATCATAGAATACTTTACATACTACTGAAATCTTAGTTATCATCATCAATAGCTATTATAAAGGGCAAATGAACCAGTGTCATAGAAAACAATACGATATATAAGATCAATTTACAAGGAGAAAGGTAGAGATTATGTGGAATGCAGAAGCTTAGTATTTCATAGAACACAAAGAGTGGATGCACCTGCGACATTGCAAACGATTCTCAACCATGTCATTCAAGGTCTCTAACCATCGGTGACTATCGTCTCGCGGACCCCAACCAGGTAGTCTACATCTAGCAACATGACTCAGTAGTCCACTTGTCAGTGACTTCATGGATTTCTGCCATGTTTTGGTTTGGCCCCAGTCAGTCAGTCAGTCAGTTGCAACGTAGAACTTCGTACGTAAGTACATCAGTTCATGTCGCCATACCACATCAGCACAGAGATATAATTGTCAATTCAAATCCAATAGTAGAAGAGGTAGTAAAGGTATTAGAAGTAATCGTAGACGTTAGAATTAGAAGATATTATTCACGAAGTATGATTCAATGAGATAAGTTTAGAAAGTCAAAACTAGAGTTGTTGAAGAACCCAGAAGATCAAAATTTGAGAGAACACAAAGAATAAATGCACTGGCGCCATTGCGAACGATTTTGAGCCATGTCATTCAAGGTCTCTAACCATCGATTATTATCATCTCGCGGACCCCAACCAGGTAGTCGACAATTACTGACATGGCTAAGTCCACTCGTCAATGACTTCATGGATTTATGCCATGTTTTGGTTTGGCCGCCCCTAGCTTTCTTCCAACCTATTCCTACACCACAAAACAAAGCTCGACGAGGGAGTCGGTGGTTAGGCATACGCAACACGTGTCCCAACCACCTCAACTGATGAATTTTCACCACTTCGTCGATTGATCTGCCATTCTTACCTAGTACCCGTTTCCTAATAACAGCGTTGCTCACTCGGGTGTCCCACGATATACGAGCAATGCTTCGAAGACACCTATGATCGAAAACCAGTAACCTACGAACATCTTCTACTCTCACTGGCCATGTTTCACAGCCATAAAGTAAGACGGAGCGAACCACTGCGCAGTACACTCGTCCTTTAGTCAGTAGACGGATATCTTGCCTACGCCATGAGTGACGCAAGTTGGCAAAAGCCAATCGAGCCTTCTGTATCCGTGCTGAGATTTCGTCAGTCACCAGGCCATCGGCACTGATGAGTCCCCAGATAAGTGAAGCGGTCTACACGTTCGACCACTTCACTCCCTATCACTAGTTCAGGTGCCGATGCAACCCAGCCTTGAAACAACATTTTGCATTTCGAGGGGGAAAACCGCATCCCGAACATGCTTGCATTGTTGCTTAGGGTGGACAGAAGACTGCATTTTGTCAGCATCTTCACCAAGTAGGACTATGTCATCGGAATATTCTAAGTCAATAAGCCAGCCACCTGGTAGAAGGTCTACTCCAGAAAATTCAGACGAGGATAAGGTTATTTCTAGGAGCATGTCTATGATAAAATTAAACAAGAATGGAGAAAGTGGACATCCCTGACGGACACCACTTGAAGTAGAGAATTCCGTTGACAGTTCGCCATAAGTTCTCACTCGACCAGTGGTGTTTGAGTAGAGAGCATGTATGAGGTTAATGTACTTATTTGGTACACCTTTCAATGACAGACACTGCCACAGAACCTCACGATCCACTGAGTCAAATGCCGCCTTAAGGTCCAGGAAAACAACTATTGTAGGACGCCTAAATGTGTGTCTGTGTTCCAGGACCTGTCGTAGTGTGAAAATGTGGTCTATACAGCCACGTCCAGGTCGAAAACCAGATTGGTTTTCTCGAGTTTGCTCTTCACGAGCTTTCGTTAAGCGTCGAAGTATTACTGAGGCCAATATTTTAGATACTATATTAGTTAGACTTATTCCCCTGTGATTGTCACAAGAAGACTTCTGTCCTTTCTTACAGATTGGGACAATCAGTGATTGAGACCAGTCGGATGGGATTACGTCCAGTTCCCAGATTCTACCTAAGATCTCAGTCAACCTAGCTGCTAAAACTGGACCACCATCCTTAAATATCTCAGGGGTCAGTCTATCAGGACCTGCAGCTCGTCCTCGCCTCAGAATTCCTAACGCTTTTTCAACTTCATTAAGACTAGGGGGACTTAGGTCGATTTGCCATTCAGGATGACTGGAGATCGTGGGTAACCGAAGAGTGGCTCGAGGCCAGTTGAACTGATCCCTAAAGTGTTCTACCCATCGATCCAGTCTCCTGGAGGATTGGCC